ATTATTATTATTATTATTATTATTATTATTATTATTATTATTATTATTATTATTATTATTATTATTATTATTATTATTATTATTATTATTATTATTATTATTATTATTATTATTATTATTATTATTATTATTATTATTATTATTATTATTATTATTATTATTATTATTATTATTATTATTATTATTATTATTAATTATTATTATTATTATTATTATTATTATTATTATTATTATTATTATTATTATTATTATTATTATTATTATTATTATTATTATTATTATTATTATTATTATTAATTATTATTATTATTATTATTATCATATTTGTTTACTAAAGTCTATTAGTTATTAAATATTTATTAATTTTTCATACTATTTGATGAACACCCAGAATGACTATGTGAACATATCTTATGTATTACCTTAGGCAATAGATTATCGAAGGTTACAAAGGTTACGTATTACTGAAAGTTAGGACATATTATTTAGGTCACTTATTGTATCCCTGATATCAATGATGAATAATAAACACCGGAAAATATTGACATGTTTTAAATTTAAAATATCATTGCAGTAGGACTATTTGCTCCATATAGGTCAGTGGTCATTTTTCAATTTAATAGTCGTAAAAATGACAGCAGTTATGGAAGCGAAGTTTTATTTAACACCGTCTTTTTGAACTTGAAAAATGACGAAATCAAAAAATTGTTGTAAACTTTGTGTTTAACTTCAACACATTTTTTATTTTTATTTTTTTGTCATCACCAATTAAAGCCACTATCATAGAATGTCGCTACACTACAGTAATGTCGCTTCTTTATTGTGGTATGACAGGTATGACAGTTTTATTGTCACAGATCTTAATTAGCAAACTTTTTTTTTCGATCTTCCCACCCATCTACTCATCTATCCATTCATTATTTATTCATTCATTCATTTATCCTCTCATCCGTTGTGGAATTGTTTTAGTTGCTTCCGTAAATGTAACTATTACTTCCCGGGTATCTTTTATTCATTATTGAAGAAAAGGTAGGTACCTTTGGTTCTACTTACTCCCTGAATGTGAATTTATTAATCATCATCATTCTTTTTCCTTTATTGATTTTCGTATTTAGTTGATTCGGATTATTCTATTCATAGGATATTAAACCTCTCAGATCATTTCGTGAAAACGATTTGATAGGAAAGATTGAGGACATTTCTAATGTTATCAATTTATTTTAGCTGACATGTGGCAATCAGTGATAATATTAGTATTATTTATTATGCTGTTTTATGGAGAAAGAAGCACCGGTGAATTGAATGATTACAGTGAAAAGATTGTGTTCAGTTTCATTAATAACGTAGCAAAACGTAGTAACGTCAGCCAACTTTGCGGTGATAGCCTTACAAAGGTAAGTATTGCTAATTAGCTCTAATTAACTGGCAAAGTTCCAAATGTCAACAAATAGCATGGAATCAAGTTACCCAAATACTCTTAAATTCAAGGTGCCAACAAATGACACAGAACTTTATCCAAAAAAAGTCTAATTAAATTGTTCTATTGCCAATAAATCGCATAAATGTGCGATTATTGATTAAGCATAAAATATCACGGAATTTTTTTTCTAACTATAAATCAATTTCTCATATTCTTGAATCCAATAATATGATAATATATTTTGTTTGATCATTGGAAATTCTTTGTATGAAATGATCCAATACCTTTATCATCAACTCTAAGAATAGAGCAGCAGTAGATGAACTTATCAAGTTTAAAATTTTCCAATCTTAAGATTCTTTAGAATTTTAGATTGGTCCATATTTGTTGGATTACAATACGATTCCAGCTCAAAAGGAATTTTTTATCACAGCTTATACATCTGGTGATGCGGAACAATTTTTTAGTAGAGATCAAGATCGTTGGGTATATTTGCAAAATGATTTTATCCCTTGTAAATGAGTAGATTGGTTGGAACATGATAGATCGAAAATATTCAAAGGTGGAAAATAGAAAACATGGATGAGTTTTTTGTTTTCGTTTCCCAACGATTATGAATCAACATGATTGATAGAAACTAGAAGTGACTTAATTAATTGGATTATGAAGTTGCTAAAAAAAAGAAACTTTTCAGGTATTCCGAGCATACAAATGTATTCAAGCAGCCGGCGAAGCAACCTATTCGAAATCCGAGCATCCATTACATTATTGTTTTGGTTATAATGAAGAAAATGAGAAAAATGATGGTATAGCATATGGGATTTGTATTCCATCTACTTGTTATAATGATCGAAACAAGGTATAACATAGAAAATCAAACATATATCAAAGATTTGATACTAATTTGAATTTTAGATTAAATATCAATTTTTGGAAATGACAGTTTTATATATATATATATATATATATATATATATATATATATATATATATATATATATATATATATATATATATATATATATATATATATATAT